ACTTTGTCTAATTAGAGGTTGGTCTTCTACTTTCTTGCAACAGTGTTTAGCAGATAGCTGTGCCCTGTGGCTAACAGATCCACATTTTTCCTGCAAGAAAATCCCTGCAAATTTATACTGTCACTCGATTGTGCTTTATCTCCACATCTCTTGTTCCTTCACTTCCAGACTCCATGGCTTATGATGTATTAATTTATTTATTTTAAAATTTTAAACTCTATCAAGATATAATATACACACAGGAAATATCTCAATAAATATTCAGAAGGTGAAAATGCCAGTTAAAAAAAAAACCAGCAGAACATTGCCAGCAACCTGAAGCCTCCTATAACTCTTCCAGTCCTGCTAAGACGAAACCACTGTCCCAATTTCTATACCATGAATAGTTTTGTCATGGCTTAGCTATACGTACCTTCTAGGTTTTTCACTCCAGGTCCCTAAAAGTGTCAGCCTCTTTGCTGTGCTTTTTTCCCTTCTGTGATTTTGCCAGTGTCTGGAATGCCCACCCCTTCTTCTGCCTCCCTCTTGCAGCTTCCTTGAAGTGTCTTCACCCTTCCAGCTCAACTGTTTCATCTAAGCTGCAATGTCCTCCCTGCTTCCTTCTCCTTTCCCCAGCTTCTATCAACACTGCGTGTGCCTTCATTAACATGCTCATCATGGTGTGTTTTGAGGCTGCTGTTTCCATATGACTGTGAGCACTTTGAGATCTATCTGCACATTTTTTTTTTTTTTATAGAACCAGGGCCTTCAATAGGGCCTGGCATACAATAGGAGATGACTAGTTGTATATTGGGTAAATGTTGTATGTGTAAAAAACTGACTCTCCAAAAGGTGACAGTCCTTGTTCACAGCAGGCCTCTAGTTTTCAGTCTTTACTAGCTTCTTGTTAGATTTTTTTTCCTCCCCTCTGTTGCTCTGATTTCTTTGTGATGTGTTTTTCTGTCAAGGTGCTTCTGGAACAACTAAGATAGTATTGTAGCTTTTTTTTTTTTTTTTTCTTCCTTTTTTGTGGCAATACTGGGGTTTGAACTCAGGGCTTCATGCTTGTAAGACCAGGCACTCTATTGCTAGAGCCACACCTCCAGCCTAGTATTTTAGCTCATTTTTTGTATCCATCACTGGGATGATGAGTGGTTGAGGATGATGCTCTCAACCCCTTGTCTGCCATTGGAGAGTAACAGCTTTTCATCTGTAATGCCTGTGAACCCAGTTTCCTATCAGTATCAAATAAGCATATGTAGGATTGTTTAAATCCGTCCTATAGTCACCCTATTGCCAACACATTTTGAGATGCCCTATTACCATTAGTGAAAAGTTACCAAATATCCCAGTTTTTGTTGCTTTATTTGTAAATCTAGCTGCTGCTAATAATAATTACCAGGAGTGTTTTTGTGAAATATTGGAGCCACTGTGGCTGAGTATGAAAATACAAAGTCCTTTCTTTGCCACACAGATTGTATTTAGCTGAGCTTCAGTCTGAAGAGTGGATAAATTCCATATTGTGAAGCACTAAGGAAGGAGAGGGTTGATCTGATGGACTTGAGACTGAAGTGGTTCCATTAGCAAGCAAAGTAGTTCACATCTACCAGGAGAGATAGTAGTTCTTATTAAATCCTTGAAAGACATCTGTTGGTCATTTGAACACTGTGTCATGAGTAATTCATGTCTAATAGGAGGCTGAAGTGCTCACTTAGCCATCATCTAAGTTGAGCCCAGCAGGAACATGTGATGGGGCAATTGGGCTGGGTTCAAGGTTCTTCTGGAGAAGGAATAATAGAAGGTTGAAAGGGGAACCATTTAGAAAGGCAGTCCTTAGTGTAATTGAAAAGGAAGAGGATAATGGTAAGAGGGTGTCCAGGCACATGGGCCTGTGTGGGAAAAGGCTTGGAGATTTGTCTCTGTACATCCAGGCTTCACCCATCCAGCCTGGGTGCTTCTGAGCCTTGGTGGCACCTCTCCCTAGTGTTTAGTGAGTGGGCCCAGGAACACAGGGGAAGAATGATGCCTTGGATGCAGACCATGAGCCCTGGAGATAGTTGTGATCCTGGACATGAAGGCTATTGTACCCTCCACCTTTTGTCCTTCAGGAGAAGATTGGTTGGCGAAAGGATGCACTGCACCTGCTGGTGTTCACAACGGATGATGTACCCCACATTGCACTGGATGGAAAACTTGGGGGACTGGTACAGCCACATGACGGCCAGTGCCACTTGAATGAGGCCAATGAGTACACTGCATCCAACCAGATGGTAAGGGCCAGGGTGGGCTCCTGATGCCTCTGCTTGTGACCCCACTTGTAGTCTGGAGTATTCATTCAGCCTCTGAAACCGCTCTTGGCCCTTAGCCTTCACTGACTTTCTGCTCCATTCTTAGGATTGGGTTTCGTTCTGTCTTCTACACGTGAGGTTTCTAGAAGTCCTTGTTATTTTAGAACATTTCTTAGGAATTCCTGTAGCTGGATCATCTTTGTACCATTGTGTACTTAAATTGAGAGTATTTTGTTGGGGCAGGAGATGGCTTAGGAACCAGGATGGATCTGTCAGAAAGAAATGGTCTTAAGGGAGAGTGGGAACAAGGGGATTGGACTATGAGCACATGATAAAAGCGAGAGCACACAAGGGAGGGGTGAGGATAGGTAAGACACCTAAAAAACTAGCTAGCATTTGTTGCCCTTAATGCAGAGAAACTAAAGCAGATACCTTAAAACAACTGAGGCCAATAGGAAAAGGGGACCAGGAACTAGAGAAAAGGTTAGATCAAAAAGAATTAACCTAGAAGGTAACACCCATGCACAGGAAATCAATGTGAGTCAATGCCCTGTATAGCTATCCTTATCTCAACCAGCAAAACCCCTTGTTCCTTGCTATTATTGCTTATACTCTCTCTACAACAAAATTAGAGATAAGGGCAAAATAGTTTCTGCTGGGTATTGGGGGGGGGGGCGGGAGGGGGTGGAGTGGGTGGTAAGGGAGGGGGTGGGGGCAGGGGGGAGAAATGAACCAAGCCTTGTATGCACATATGAATAATAAAAGAAAAATGAAAAAAATAAAATAAAATAAAATTTGGAACTGAAAAAAACAAAACAAAACAAAACAAACAAACAAAAAAAAAAATAAAATAACCAGAGCAAAATGAAAAAAAAAAGGGAGAGTGGGGACTGTTTTCCTGCAGGTAACAACTCTGATAGAAGTTATTGGGCAAGACTTCCTAACTTCTAGAAATGGGCTCTGTTTCTAGAAGTGAGGTTCCCTGTGTCAGGAATGGCTAGCAGGTGTGGAGGCCTCAGGGACTTTTCACTCCCAATAGTCTGTGACTGTGACCATTTAATATAAAAGGATTTGTGCAAAATCTCCAACATATATACTCATAGACCAGTGCAATGAAACCCACATACCTATCACCCAACCCTAACAAGATCTTGCCATACTTACTATGCATACTTTTTCAGAAATGTATAGCCTCTTCTCTCCCAAGTTCATTTTGGTATCTGGTCAGAGAGGAGTCCTCCGAATTTTCTTTGCTGGACAAGCACATTTTCTCCAGTTTCAAGACATGGTTATGCCCAAGCCTTCCAAAGTATCCAGGAATTGAGGGTGTTTGGAAAAAGGACTCATCTGATTATAACCTCTGTACTTTAAAATCCTGAAGGACCCTGCCTGTTAAGCTGCCTCTTAGCTTCCTCCCTCCCTCCTTGCTCAGCACCTCCCCTCTGCCCCCCACAGTCTTCACTTCCCCACTGTGGGATGTCTGGTGGCTTCCTGAGGGCCCTTTGCATGAGAGTCTTCTCCACACAGTCCCTTAGTTCAGGAGCCGTTGATGGGATCTGGTTATCAAGGGGCTCTATGGGGCCACCTATGGGAAATTTTCCTCTTTTCTTGGCAGGTACTGAGCAGCTGAGTACACATTAGAGCAGGTTCTGGTACCTCAGTATGTGAGAAGTTTACAACCTTTACTTTTGCCTTGGCCCTAGGATTATCCATCTCTTGCCCTGCTTGGAGAGAAGTTGGCAGAGAATAACATCAACCTCATCTTTGCAGTGACAAAAAACCACTATATGCTCTACAAGGTATGCCTGGAGGGAGAGAGGAAGGCTGGCAATCCCATTCTGGGGGCCTTGTTGACCCGGAGGGGAATGAGAGATTACAATGTGTATGTGTGGGGGGAGGCGAAGAGTGTTCACAGTCCTTCAAGGGGGTGGGAGGAAAGGGAGTCAGAGGAGAGGTGCAAGATAGCTCTGTCTGGGCTCTAGTAG